TTTAATTTCAATTTTTAAATTTTAATTTCAATTTTTAATGTTTTTTATTAACAAATGTTTTTTTTCCAGGCAGAACGGAATGATGGTGAGCCGTTGACTCCCTCGTGTTAATGAAGGAGGCGTATACCAACAAGTCGACCGGAGAGATTTCGGATGCCGTTGTGAGGGAGGTGATCGACTTGGTCGAAACCCAGAAGGAGGAAGAGATCCAACGCCTCTCTCAGCTTCAGTCTGACGACGACGGCACTACTGCAGCTTCCCCCAGCCTTTCTCGAGTTCGAATCAACGAACTTGTTGAGTCGGTAAGATCTTTATTTTAATTTAATGTNCCGGAGAGATTTCGGATGCCGTTGTGAGGGAGGTGATCGACTTGGTCGAAACCCAGAAGGAGGAAGAGATCCAACGCCTCTCTCAGCTTCAGTCTGACGACGACGGCACTACTGCAGCTTCCCCCAGCCTTTCTCGAGTTCGAATCAACGAACTTGTTGAGTCGGTAAGATCTTTATTTTAATTTAATGTTTTTTTTTTTAATTTTATGTTTTGTCACTGTTTTAGTTTAATGTTTTTTTAGGCGGTTCCTAAGAAGAAAGGCCGTTTGTTCGGGTTGGCTCGTCGTTCCAAGTCAGTTCCTTCTACTTCAGAACCGGCTTTTGTTGATCCGGCAATTATGGAGCAGCTACAAAACAAGAATGACCGCATCGTAGCATTGGAGAACCAGAATGCCACAATTCTTACCCAAAACGAGACCATTCTTGCTAGGATGGCAGATCAGCAAAATGAAGTGGAGGAAACGAAGAAGAAGAACCAGGAGTTATTGGATATGATGCGACGTCTGTTCCCGCATGAGTTCTAGTCGGTTTTCTATTTGTTTTTTAAAACTTTGTATTTCTACTTTAAAACTTAAAATATTATAATATGTTTTTATTTCAATTTGAGTTTTATATTTTCAAATAATATTATATTAATATTTATTAAAAACAATTAATTATTATTTATTATTTATTTTTTAAAAAAATAGGAATTTCCGAGGAAGAACATCCCTCGGAATATTCCGACCAACGTTTCCTCGGAATATTCCGACGGCTGGTTCCTCGGAATATTCCGATGGACATTGCCGTCGGAATGTCCATCGGAATATCCCGAGGAACCATCCATCGGAATATTCCGACGAACTTTCCGTCGGACATCTTCCGACAATTATGTCCAACGAAGTATCTATAGGGATAATTCGATGGAAAGGCTTCCCTCGGAATTTCGTCGAATTATTGATTCATCGGAAGTCCTCGGAATTTCGTCGGTGTCTCTAACGAAATTCCAAGGAAATATTATTTTCCGACAAAATAATTCCGACGACCATTTTTCTCGGAATGGCGTCGGAATACGTGTATTCCAACGACATTCCGAGGAAAATGGCCCTCGGGATATCGCTGTTTTCTTGTAGTGGGGCTAGAATATTGTATGCCCGAGCCGTCAACTCTGTGTGTATATATATATTGCGACTTGGATAATCAAGAAGAACAAGGTGAAAAATTCTTATTTCCTCGCTTCACTACTAAGAAATTGTGTTTTGAATTTCTTATTGAATTAATGAGTTTCTTATGAGTTTTTTACCTTGTTCGTTCTATAAAATATAAAAATTGAGGCTATAATCCACCGGAAACATCCACATAGGATGTTAAACGAGTAATCAAAACATGACAAGTCACAATATTAATTTATTATTTTTGATATATGTTAATAATTTCAAAAATATATTTAAAATGAAATTAATTTTAAATATATAATATAAGTTAAACTAACAAAATAAATCTATCCTAAATAAAATTTGAGGATATATGTTATTGAGAGTGTCCAGATAGGATGTTAAACCACCAATAAAATTATGACAAAAAGTTTCTAATTTTTTATTTCGAAAATGTTAATAATACGAAAAATTTTATTTCAAAAAAAAATTAATATCAAATATGGTAAATTTACAAAAGTAAAAACACGATATAAGCAAGAGAAATTTGCCAATATGACTCAAAACATGGTTTCAAATGCAAAAGTAAACTCAAATTTGAATTAAATGCAAAAGTAAGCTAAAAGGCTATTGAAATTACAACCAGCCCTTTGTGAACAAACAAAAAAACCCAAAAAAAATTTCACGTTTCTAACCTCCGTAGCTATTCTGTTTAGACGACTTTCAAGTAAGTCGTCTGGACGACTTAGTTGAAAGTCGTCTATTATAGTTATTTTTAAAAATAATTTAAATATTTTGATAAGTGAAAAATTGAAATCAAATATTTAACATATGTTCTAAGAGATATAAATTAAGATATAACAAAATTTAATTGTTTTCAACATAGATGAGCGAAAGTAGTGAGTCATGATATTTTTTTGTTTAGGTTTTGCCATATGTTGTAGGATTGTATGTGTTTCTTAGGGTTAGATTTTCGAAAGCATAAATGTTTTTTTTTGAAAAATTTGAAATGTACCTAATTGTGTTTATTTCTGTGTATAGTAAACCCTTTTTAAATATAATTTATTTTTATAATGTGGTTAGTTAGTTAATTTAGTAAATTTAGTTTATGGTTTAAGGTCTGGACGACTTACTATTAAGTCGTCTGGTAAATATATTTAAGGCAGACAACTTACTAGCAAGTCGTCTGATGTATAGTATTCAATAGACGACTTACTATTAAGTCGTCCAAACCGGACTGAACCTTTGATTTTACTAATCTACTTTCAAACCTAACCAGATTTTTTACCGAAGATATATAAGATGTTTTTTACTCATTTTTCGCGAAATTCAGAAAACCCTAATGCCGTTTCGCTTAAAGGTGATTTCAAAGATGATTTCAAAGGAGATTTCCATCGAATCTCTCTAATCCATCGTTCTCACCGCCGGTTATCTCTCCGCCGTTATCACTGTCATTATCACCACCGTTCTTACCGCCGCTTCCTCTATTTCAGATCTGAGAGGAAACCCTAGCGCCATTTCTATGTAAACCCTAGCGCCATTTCTCTTAGAGGCGTTTCGTTGAACTCCACCGCCGGTAATTTATATCTCTTACTGTCGAGTGATTTATTGAGTAAAAGAAGAACATAAAACATCGTTCTCACCGTCATTCTCATCGCTCTTCTTTTTCACCTCTATTTTTGCAGATCTATAACCGCTGTGTCGAAGGCGACTATATCTTCTCCGAATTTTCAGGTCGGCTTTACAATGTTCAACTGGAAGTCTTGGAAGACTTATAGTTAAGTCGTCTAGAAAGTCTTCCACCTGGAAGACTTTCCAGACGACTTAAATATAAATCTTTCAACTGGAATACTTGCCAGACGAGACTTAATTATAAGTCGTCTGGAAACTACTCCAGATAATTAAAATGTTATACTAGATGGTTATGTGCTTGAGATGGTTGTCTTTGATTGTTTTGCAGAAAAAAATGGATATTCCAGAACTCCCCCGTAGGATGCATACAGTAGGGCAAGAACCCCCCGCATTGAATAACATTTCGTATCATCCGTGTACGAAATTGTATACTGCTTTAAGGAATGCTCTTCATGATGACGAATATGAAGAGCTGAAGGAGTCTAAGTTGGGAGTTTTCATCAAGTTCCAAGAGCTGGAATTTGATTGGGCTTCAAGGCTGGTTCACTACATGCTCGGTTTCCAGCTCGACATAAAGAAGAAGTATGAGCTGTGGAGTCTCGTTGGTCCACAACCTTTGAGGATTTCACTGTTAGAGTTTAAATACATCACTGGTCTAAACTGTGAGTACATTGAGGACCTTGAGAGACCAAATTGTTCTGTTACAAAGGAGTTGGCTTCTTTCTGGGAGTGATGTCGAAGCTGGGCCAACTACTGAACAGATAATAGCAGCATTTGAGAGAGGAGAAGGGTGGTCTCGGGATGATCGCAAGCAGCTTGGGTACCTTGCCATCTTCACTGGATACATTGAAGGGAGAAAGTTTTCAATCCCTACACGGGTTAGTCTGGCAAGGCTAATGATGGATCTAGAACGGTTTGAGAATTATCTATGGGAGAGAGTCGCGTTTAAGGTGCTGATGGGATCTGTGAGGGCAAAGATATTTCGGGTTGTTACACCATTGATGGGTTTATACAAGCTCTCCAGGTCTGAGTGTACACAGCTCTGCCAGAATTGGGTGCTAATTATGGTAATCCAGTACCAAACAGACCGTCCACTACAGGAAATGTGGGTAGTAATAGCAGACGGAAAACGCTATTATTCATTTATAATAGCGCTTCCTTGTTTGCTCTGACATCATCCATTATAATATGTCTGACCCTTTTAATAGCGGTTTTTCTCTGTGTTATAATTAAGCGTACAACAATAGCGCATTTTTCTACGCAATTGTTAATACTTATAATAACGTACATATGTTATTATAACTTAATAATAAAGAAAAACCCGATAGCAAAGATAGCAAATTATAATAGGTCTGACCCTTTTAATAGCGGTTTTTCTCTGTGTTATAATTAAGCGTACAACAATAGCGCATTTTTATACACAATTGTTAATATTTATAATAACGTACATATGTTATTATAACTTAATAATAAAGAAAAACCCGATAACAAAGATAGCAATCATTACGTGTTATTAATTAGTTTTTAAATTATCTGAATATTCATTAATAAGAATTATGAATTGATTTTTTTATCATAATATTTAATTTGAATATTTGTAATAAAACAATTTAAATTATTACATTTTATTCATTAATTAAACTTTGTTTATAAATAAAATAATTTTATACATTAAACCAAATACAAAAGATTGAACAAAAGGTCACTAACTTCCAAACAATGGCCATAATAAAACAAACATACAAACAAACCACAAAAAGAGCTAAAGAAAAAACGAATAGTTCACAATGTCGTTAAACATTAGGTCCTTCTATGTGGTAAGGCATTGAGAGTGTTGATCCCATGAACAAGAACACACCTTTGCAGTCAACAGATTAAACACACACAAGGGGAAAAGCAACAACCACTAGGCGTTTGTCATGCTAATGTTCAGACTATTTCTCATAGTTCTTCTCCCAACACCTGCATTTCCTTTTTGCATCATCTCCACAAACTCACCATAATCAATCTTTCCATCCTGTTAAAGAAACTTCTTAGAGAGGAATCTGGAAGAACCAAAGTCTGCATAGTAAGCTTACATTGTTTTGATCAACTTCTTTGATGATATCTTCAAGGAAAACATCAGTCATACTATGTTCAACACACGCTTGTTGCAACTCGTCTGTTGTAAAAAAAATTCACACCACACAAGAATTAATAAAAGCCCTGCAATGTTGGTAAAAAAAAAAAAGAATATTGTGGTTGAGAGACTGATCTGCAAATTTTGCAGTAAAGTTCCAAAAATAATCTCCCCAACAAAAGGACCTTTAGCATCTGTGACCACCATTGTCATGAACTCACAAGGTTACCTGCAGAAAATATCAAAACAAAAGAAGACCATAACTAAACTAAGGGTATGATACACTAATCTCTTTCTTCCTTAACAACATAAGATATATGACAAACCTCACATATATATGACAAATAACCCTTCTCTCTCAAAAGATGTTCTATGTTTCCATGGAAAGTGAATCAATCACCTCTGTTAGAAGTACTCCCATGTCTAGAACCTGTTTGATAAGTCCCATAGCATAGTTATGTGAGATCTCATTTAAAGTGATCTTGTTTCTGTAGAAAAAACAAACCAAAGCTTTAATGTTATAAACCACTATGTAACCCGTTGAAAACATTTATTACTAACTTAGCGAGCATCTTAGCAGAGAGCTCCCTAGGACCAATGACATCAACAGCCCATCCAAGAGACTTATCTAGCTTTAAATTTCCATATAATTCTTCTCTTTTCTCTTCCGAGTCTTTGAATCTACAAACATAGCAGCAAAAAAAGGTTCAAGTCATCGAAAGTGTCATTCTTTCAGTAACACAAAAAGTGTAGGGTTTTGAAAGGTTGGAACTTTGTTAATTGGCTACTAGGTTTGAGAGTCACACCTAAGAGAAGAAGAAGAAGAAAGGAAGGAAATAGACCTCCGAAATGGAGAGAGGCAAGAGAAGACTGGTAGGAGAGAGGGCATTACAAGCATCCATACACGATTGGTCCTGTTTTGTCAACGAAACCGAATCAAAGACAACTTTTTTTTATGAAATCATCGGAGAAGATGAGAAAACCTAGAACAGGACCCCTCCCGGCTTCGTCGATGCCCATTATGCAAGGTTGAGTGGCTCACTCTTGCGTCGATTCCAATTCCATTCTGTAGAAGAATCACTATAACTCGTCACTCAACGATCTCGACTTCCCTCTCTATCTCACTCTCTCGTCACTCGTTTGTTAGATCTTGACTCTACTTACACACACGACTAACAGAGATAGAAACGTAAAGGTAAAGACACACAAGCTTTATAAAGTTCCCCACTTCACCACCGGGTAAGTCTCTCTTCAGGGCGGTACCTGGAATTCACTATCTTGATTATATTTTTACAAGATGAATCTCTCTTACAAATGAAGGTGATAGCACACCTTATATAGAAAGAAGAAGATAAGGTTGTTACGGTTGTTACACCGGTTTAATCTGCTGCACCGCAGAACACCCAGCTTCACAACTCCTTTGCATTAATCCGACTGGGCCTTCTATCAATCACCGAAGCCCATTCAATCCTTAGTGAATCCAGTCTTGGGCCAAAGCCCAATCGATTGTTCACCACCTCACAATCTCCACCTTGGTGATCAGTCGGAGCCACCGCCGACTGACCTCCACCGCCGTCAACCTGATGTTGTCAGCAACCGCCCTGGTCTTCAACCGGAGTTCTTTTGTCCTCACTTCGAACTCTTGTCCACAACATTAACCGTCCCTCTGACTTCCGAGACATAAATTATCTCAGGCCACCATCTCAGTTCCAACGATGACCACGACGCCACAGCTTCTCAAGCTTCCTCCTTGACACTTAGCTTCGCTAAGCATCCCTCAAACTTCTCTCCAGGTAACACTTTAGTTAACATATCCGCTGGATTAACCGAAGTATGAATCTTGATAACCTAAACCTTCCCGTCTGCAATAACCTCTCGGATGAAGTTGTATTTGGTAGCAATATGTTTTGTCTTCTCTCTGTACACAAAATTCTTAGCCAAGTAGATCGCATTTTGAGAATCACAATGAACCTCAACCACCTCATCACTTAACTTCAGCTCCTTGCAAATACCTTTAAGCCATAAGCCTTCTTTGATAGAATCCGACAATGACATGTACTCAGCCTCCGTTGTTGACAACGCTACTACCTTTTGCAGAGATGACCGCCAGCTTACTGAGTTTCCTCCCACGGTGAACACATAGCCTGTAATATACCTGCTCTTGTCAAGATCTGAATCACAATACCCTCTGATGCGGAAGTCTGCTCCTTTGGTGAAAGTTAAGTTCACTTTCATTGCTCCCTTGACGTATCTCATAATCCATTTCACCGCTAACCAGTGATCTGTACCAGGTTTGCTCATAAATCTGCAGACCAATCCAACCGCATACGCAAGGTCTGGTCTTGACCCTACCATTGCGTACATCAAGCTCCCAACAGCACTTGAATAAGGTATGTCCTCCATTGCCTTTGCTTGCTGTAGCTCCTCCGGCTTAGTTAGACTTTGTAGTTTGAATTGAGATCCTAGAGGTGTACTCACAGCTCTGCAGTCTTCCATTCCGAAAGTCTTTAGCACCTTGGATAAGTAGTCATTCTGAGATAGAATCAAAACTCCTGTTGTTTTGTCTCGAATGATGTCCATCCCTAAAATCCTTCTTGCCGGTCCAAGATCCTTCATTTCAAACTCCTGACTTAGCTGCTCTTTTAACCTCTGAGCTGTATCTCTTTTCCTTGCTGCAATAAGCATGTCATCTACATACAGAAGTAGATAGACAATATTCTCAATTTCTGTGCCTTTCATGTAGACACACGGATCGTATTCGCTCCTTCTGTAGCCTTGTTCCATCATAAATGTATGGAATCTGTGATTCCACTCCCTAGGTGATTGCTTCAAGCCGTATAGCAACTTTCTTAGCAAGCACACCTGTTTCTCCTTTCCCTTTCTAATGTAACCTTTGGGTTGCTCCATGTACACCCGCTCTTTAAGGACACCGTGAAGGAATGCTGTCTTCACGTCTAGCTGTTCTAGTTCCAGATTAAACTTCACCACTGCAGAGAGCAATAACCGGATAGAGACGTGCTTCACTACAGGGGCAAAGACTTCATTATAGTCCACGCCTTCAACCTGAGCATATCCTTTCGTGACAAGTCTGCCTTTGTATCTAGGTTCACTTAGGCCTGGAACTCCTGGCTTGAGCTTGTAAAGCCACCTACACCCAATGACCTTATGATCCTTTGGTCTCTCGACATAATCGCACGTCTGATTCTTCTCCAATGAGACCATTTCTTCATCAGATGCTTCACTCCAATACTTCCATTCTTTGCTTTTCTTAGCTTCTTGATAGCTCTTTGGTTCATTTATTTCAATTTCCTCCGAGCTAGCAAGAGCATACGCTACGAAATCAGTATCTTCGAACCTTGATGGTGGCCTAATGGTTCTTCTGACTCTATCTCTAGCCAGTAGATAACTACCCAGATCTTCAGAATTATCTTCATTCGTGTCTTGATCTGACCCTGTATTCTCACTAGAACTTCCAGCTCCAATTTCAGTTACATCTTCCTCATATTCAACTGTCTCTGTTGTTGACGGAACTCCACCTGAATTTGAGCTATCTCCATCACATATGTCTTCAAGAACACTTCTGAATGTGACCTTCTTTGTAGAGGTTCTGTCTCCCTTTATCTCTTCTTTACTGGTATTGTCAGGGTTTGCAGAGACATCTTTGTAAAACTGCTCCTCGTTGAAGACTACATCTCTACTAATCACCAGATTTTGTTCTTCCAAGAGCCACACCCTATATCCTTTAGTCTCTTGACCATACCCCAAGAAAATTCCTTTAGCAGCCCTGGGGCTAGTCTTCTCCCTGACTTGATGAACGTAGGCGACGCAACCGAAACACTTTAAATGAGCATACTTAACCTTTTGACCTGACCACCTTTCTTCTGGAATGTCGAACTTAATAGACGCATTTGGTGACCGGTTGATGATGTATACAGCTGTAGATGCTGCTTCTGCCCAGTAGTACTCCTCCAGCCCTGTTTCAGTCAACATTGATCTCACCTTGTCCATGATGGTGCGATTCATACGCTCAGAGACTCCGTTCTGTTGCGGTGTGTAGGGACACGTCTTGTGTCTCTTGATTCCTGATTCTCTGCAAAGTTGATCCATCTTCTGATTGCAGAATTCCAAGTCGTTGTCAGTTCTCATACACTTGATCTTCTTGTTTGCTTGATTCTCCACCAGCTCCTTCCATTCTGCAAAACAGTCAAATACTTTGTCTTTAGTTTTCAGAAAGAAAATCCAAACCTTTTTTGAAAAATCATCAGTGAAGGTTAAGAAGTAATGAGCCCCTTCTAAGCTCGAAACCGTGTTGGGAGAGCCCCAAAGATCTGTATGTATGTAGTCAAGAACTTCTGCAGTAGTATGTTTTGCTCTAGGGAATTGTTGCTTATGTGCTTTTCCCATAGCACATGCTTCGCAAAACTCCAGCCTTCCTATTTCCGCCTTCTTGAGGTACCCTTTCATGGCCAGTGTCTCCATCGACCTCAGGTTCATGTGAGCTAGCCTGGTGTGCCATCTTTTCGTGTGATCAACACACCCCTTTGCTGTGTTTGCTTCGGGTCTCCTTATGTTTCCTTGCAAGTAGTATAGACCATTGTCGTATTTGCCAGTTAGCACCTTTTTATTTCCTTTATAGAACTGAACCGTGTAACCCTTTCCTGTGTAATGGCATCCTGATTGTTCTAGCTGGCCGTATGAAATGAGGTTCCTGCTCATCTCTGGGATATACCAGACGTTGCTCAAAGTGATAGATGTGCCATCAGGGTTGTCTATGGTCACTTTTCCTATACCACGGACTACACAGTATGAATTATTCCCCATCGTGACTTTGTTTCCCTCGAACTCTTCTAGATCTGACAGGAGATCCTTCCTCGGTGTTATATGAAATGTACACCCTGAGTCCAGAACCCAAGCTTCCTCTGAAACTATCAAACTCGCCGTTAGGACCATTGGTCCAGGGAGCTTGGACGCAACATTTTCTGCGTGATTTGACGTCGTTGCGAAGTGTGTTTTCTTCCTCTCTGGACAGTCCCTTTTCCAGTGATCCTCACCTCCACAGATCCAGCATGTTTTATCTGGTTTTCCGTTTGACCTTCCCTTGGACTTTGATCTAAACTTGTTCTTCTTCTTACTTTGCCATGGTTTTGATCCACCTGAGTCATTTCTTGTCGTTGATCTACCTCTAGACTCCGTGTACAGGCCCTCTGATTGTTTCCCTCTTGTGTTAAGACCCTTTTGCTATAACTCCACCCCCTTGGAGTAAGCAGCTATCATGACTTCGTTGACAGTAAGAGTATCTTTGCCAGTGCCATACTGCAGCGTGTGGACTAGTGGTTCATAGGCTGATGGCAGGCCTGATAACAACTATATCGCCTGATCCTCATCTGAGATCTCTATCTTAATGCTCGCCAAATCTGCCACTAGCTTCAAGAACAAATCAAAGTTCTCCTCCATAAGTTTCTCATCTTCCATCTTGAAGCATGAGAACTTCTTCTTTAGGTAGATCCGATTAGGTAGGGACTTTGTTTGATAGTCCCGTTCCAACGCTTTCCACATGCCTAGAGCTGTCGTTTCATTCATGATCTTCCTGAGGATAACGTCACTGAGAGATATGCTGATCAAGCTTCTAACCCTGAGATCCTTCTCTGCTTTCTTTGCGTCCATCTTTATTTCAACCTCTTCATCTTGGCTCCCTTTGTCAGCTCCGGTGAGCTCAGTGTCTTCGAGTGCCGATGACAGACCTTGGATCTCGAGTTGTGCCATCATCTTGAACTTCCATAAGCCAAAATCTCCCTTTCCATCAAACTTTTCAATCACAAATTTTCCCGGTGTAGGATCCATCCTTTAGCTACGAGAATAACCGTTTCTTGATACCTGCAGATATTCAAGCAACACAACTCGCAGTAACACAATCCAACATGCACACAAGATTAAATTCCTAAGTGAACTAGAAAGGTTAATACAAAGGAGATTAGCTTCCCTGTGATCTCTGATCTGAGATGATCAGATCTGAACTGTCGGACGAGTAGAATCACCGTCTCCTCCGCGATCGATCGGAGAAGATA